AATCTTGTAAATTATTATGTATTGTATATCTTGCATTCAGTGTTTTTCTATTACATGCTGAATGATACACAAAGTAAGAGAAAATGGTAAGAGATCTTTGTTTAAGGAGCTGGCAAAGATCAGGCCAGCCATTAAGAAAGGAGAGTGAGAGAAAACAGGAAAGGACTCCAACTGGAGCCGCTGGTGGGGGCTCGCTCCGGTGAAGTAGCTCACTCCAGCCCACCTGTGAAGGCAGGAGGCCAGCTTTAAGAGTTAGCTGGGGGACTGGGTTGGTCATTTTCTTGGTCCTGGCCTCCTAGCTCTGGAGAAATCCTCATGGCTTTAGGGGTCAAATAAAAAATTGTGTCATATAGAGAGCCCTTCCCAGTCCTTGTTGTGGCCTAGGAAGTTTATATTTGTAATCCCATGAAGTTACTGGAATCCTGGAGTGTCAGTTCCAATCTACCACTTAAAATGCAACCCATGGCATTTTAGAATAAAGACACGAAGGCATATTTGTAGTTATGGGGAGCCAAGGGGTCCTAAGTCCAGCCACAGTGATGGCTATCTGGAACAAAGTCCTGGACCCCAGGCCTAACCTGGGTTTTATTCATTCACGAAGAGAGAGTGGCTTGAGGATGAGTGACTGTGAAAATCGTGGGAAGTAGGTGAGTGCCATGAGCTGGGCTAGGTAGGAGGCCTGCAATCACCTCTGCCATACGCAGGGAGAAGGATATGCAGAAAAAGAAATCTGCATAACACAACTGAGATAGTATCTAATGTTTTGGGGTCGGTGCTTCAGCTCTGATGTGTAATCTTTCAAGCCCCAGGAAGTCATAGCCTCTATCTCAGGCTGGATCCCTACGGATAGCATGGAGCATTGGCTTTACATCCTGGCTCACACAGGGGAACAACAGGGGCCTTCAAAGGCTACCATCAATACTGTGGCTAGACCAATATGCATTGCTTAAAGCCAATCGAAGAGGTAAGGAAAGGGTCCTAGCCACCTCTGTACATACCAATACATGGAAATAGGGTGAAGCTCAGCCAGAACGGAGACAATTGCTCTTCTTTCAAGGAGAGTTGTCCAGGTGGTCCTCCACAGTTTCAGCCCAGCCTTTAATTACAGCCCTCTTGGAAGCTGAGGCCAAAGGATCTCAAGCTTGAGCTCATCCTGGGCCTCTTAGCAATTTAGTAAGACCCTGTCTCAAAATAAAAAGTTAAAAAATGCACCAGGCAGGTAGCTCAGTATAAAGGCCCTGAGTTCAACCCCCAGTACTGAAAAAATAAAAATCACAGCAAAGCCCTAGAAACAAACCTAATATCCATTAGCAGGGCAACAGGCCCATTCAACGGAGCCGGAGTTAGCGAGAAATGATACAGACTCCTGACGCTGCACCAGCGCAGAGGAACCTCAGAAGCATTTGTTGCCAGAGAGGAGCCACACGTAAAACATAGACCCTTTGTCCTCCTGACATGGATTCACATGGGACACTACATGAGCTCCTTTGGCTTCCTCGTGCACAGACAGATAGATCTTGCACCCTTCCAAGATCTGTTGGATCTGTTGGATCTGTTACTATTGCATGTGGTTCCATTATGTAGATTCTAGACCAGGTGAAATCGTTTGTATCTCAGAGGTCAGAGCAGGGGCTGCTGGGCCAGATTGTCATCTGGAGATTGGGAAGGGCGTGAGGAGACGTTTTGGGGGTGAGGTGGTTATTCTGGATCTTAGTTGGGTCTGTGCATTTCTCAAACTTTACTGAACTTGCACTTAAATGGGTGCACTGGGGGAGAGATGAAGGGAAGTGAAAAGAATTAAGATGTGTCATGTACATGGACCAACTCCCCAAGATGAGTGTACTCATTATGAACTGCAAACATATTAACAGTACAGTTAGAAACACTGGTGCTGCGGGAGTCACCCCCTTCCCTCCATTTAATTCTAAACAGCACCCAAAGGTCATTCCTGCTTCCATTGTTCTAAGACAGGTGGAAAATAGCAAAAACCCGGGAGGTCATTTGTGTGTTGAATCTCCCAGCCTGACCCTCTGTTGCCTTCACCCCACTCCCACCTCATTACAGGTTCATAAACAGGTATTGAAGTGGGAAATTAAAAATTTCAAATAAAAGCCTGCCCGGGATGCCTGTCAAGACCAAGCAGACATGTCCAGTAGGCCCAATAACAAAACACTCCTTCCTTTGTATAAACCCCTCTCTTTACTGGCTTTGTGTAACTGATGGCCTTGCAATGCAACTTGAGATATTTAAACCTCCTTAGCAACTCAGGATGTCACCCAACCCTCCAATCCAGGGTGCCAAATCTGCCTTTGTACTCCCTGCTTGCCCTCCCTATAAAAGTCCCCAAGCCCCGAGGGGTGGGGCTGTGACTCTTTGGGCGAGAGATCCCAGCCAGGCCCACTGGTGTACATAAACTACATCCTAAACCTTCTCGGTTCCATTTCTTCCCATGTTTGGTCTATTTTCTGTAACAGTATCATATGTCATAAATGTAATTAAGATCAGTGAATCCTGGGACAAGCATGCATGTTGGGTCCCTAAGATGACTCAGCATCCTGTCAATCATTCCTGTCAGTCACACTGAGTCAGGATTTAAGGATATGCACCTGGGCTGAAGTGCATATCCTTAAATTCCAAAAGCCTGATGTACCTGTGGTCTGTTACTGTTGCTACTTCTGTGTCCCTTGACCTGTACACAGTGCTTTTCTGTCCCCCTGTATCTTTTTCAGTCAGTGCCTTATCATTTGTTCGCAGTATTTTCCCCTAGCACAACTTCCTGTGATCTTCAGTAAATGTAGCTGCTTACTGCCTACTGCTAGGTGTATACTTGGCAACTCTTTTCCTCGTTGTAGGCAACAGCCTGGAACATCATTGACTCATTCCATGGCAACATTAATAAAAATGGGGAAAAAAATTTTTTTTGAGACAGGGTCTTGCTGTGTAGTCCAGGCTGGCTTTGAACTGACTGAAGCCCAGGCTGACCCCGAACTCATGGAGATAGAGGGAAACGAAACTTCCAAACTGCTAAACATCTGGTACTAGTTCCTGTTCTCTAAAGTCAAAGAATAAATCCTAGGAACAATGGATGCTAAGAGCGGGATATATTTATTGGGGAAAGAAAGCTTCTGTCCAAGAAAGAGACGGAAGGGGACCCGAGTGGGTTGCTGAGGACCCTGCCTTCTCTAGGGATTTTTATAGAGAAAATCACGAGGTGAGGCAGGTCCAAAGTGGGGAAAAATGGGAAATTACAAGGTAGGCCTAAGGTGGTCATAAGACTGAGTATAATTGCTCAGGTAATATTGATTAAATCGGGATCAAATGGGAAAGAAAGCAAGTCGGGTATCAAGTGGACCTGAAACACAACAGGAGCTCTTCCTAGCTTTCTCAAGGTGATCGATACCTATTTAGAATATCAATATCTGTTGTTTATCCTTAAGGGAAGTATGTGGCTGCATTTGTTTCCTCTTTTTTTTTTTTTTTTTTTTTTTTGAGACAAGGTTTTACTGTGCAGTTTAGGCTGGCCTTGAACTCACTTTGTAACCCAGGCTAGCTTTGAACTTGCAGTGATCCTCCTGCCTCAGTCTCCCGAGTGCTGGGTCCGCTCATCTTTTGTCCAGGTCTGTCCCCCACAGTTGCCATATATCCCGTGTTCTGCACTGGCTCCTTTGAGGGCCCAGCCTTGTCTGATTGCCTATATTTCTACCTAATTTAGCTGTCTATAACAATGGCAAGCCTCCTGCCTCAACCTCCTGAGTACTGGAATTACAAGCATGAGCCACCATGCACGGCTGAAAATTTTTAAACTTATGCATTTTATTGAATATGAATTATATATCAGGGAAGTTGATACTACAGCAGCCCTAGGAGGCAGGACTAGGAGCCTCATAAATGTGGAAACTGAAGCACAGAGGGGCCGCGCGGTCGCAGGCATGGTGCCCACTCCCTGGCAGTGACTACTGCCATTGGTCGCGTGGCCGTTTAATCCACTCATCGCCCTGGTGTGGTGAGCTGCAGACCTTCAACGTGTCCTGAAGCTGGGCAGAGCAACCCTCCCGGGGTCCAAGGGGCAGGGGCCAGGGCTGGGGAAAGTCATCCTCCAGGCCCCATCTCCTGGCCGCTGGTGAGTAGGGGGCTCGAGGAGACCCTCGTGGGGCCCTGGCTCGGCAGCACCGGTGCTCAACGGCAGGGGGAGACTCCGAGCCAGAACAGGGAAATCGGCCACGCCCGCGCGGGCTCCGTGGTGCGCAAAGAGTAAGGGCGGTGCTGCGGGCCGTGTGACCCGAAAGTGTGGGCCGCGCGGTGTGGACGCGAGCGCTAGGGTGCGCGGGCAGCCGGGATTCGGGTCATGTGGGTCGGAGCGACCGCGAGGCGGGAGTGCGAGTTCAGAAGAGGGGTCCGGCCCGGCGGGCTGCAGCTGCGGGGTTCCAGGCACAGGTGCACGGGTCCAGCAGCTCAGAGCCGTGGCCTGAGGCGGGGGAGGCGTCGGGGTCCGGCTGTCTCTTCCTGCCGGCCCCAAGTTTCTCTTTTCCTGCCCGGTGTCGGGCCCGCCTTGGTCCCGGAACTGACCGGACCCGCTCTACCGCGGCGGACAGCGGGCCCCTGACCTTTCCAGGAGCCCTGGCGACATGTAGGAAGGTTAGGGTTCCCGCCCCACCGGGGGTGCCAGGGCAATTCAGCCAGATCTGCGGGCTGCACCCCCCGCACCCCTGCGCGCCGACCCCTTCGTCCCCTGGAAATGTACCCGCACTAATTTAGGAGAAACGCGTGGCCTCCCGGAGCCGTGGCACCCGGAGTGCAGCGTTGAGGCCCGGGTGGGCGCCCTTCCTGACAGTGGCCTTGAGAGCCAATGGGCATGAGCGCTTGCATACTGGGGAGGCGAGTGTCAAATGCCTCTAGTTTTTTTTGTTGTTGTTGTTGTTTGCGGTAGTAGGTATTGAACCTAGGGCCTTGGCACTGAGCTGTATCCCCGCCTTTTTTTATCTTTAATTTTAGGAAAGGGTTTGTGTAAGTCACTAAATTGCCCTACCTGGGCTTCCATTTGTGGCTTTCCTTCCTCAGCCTCTTAGAGGGCTGGCATTACAGACCTGTGCCACCAAGGACGGCTGGCCCAGGAATCCTCTAGTAAGAAAAACTTACATCCATATAGGAAATTCTTGGACTCCTGAATTTTGTGGGACTCCCATGTGTGCGTGCGTAAGTACGTAATTAAATATGTATACTTTTTCCTCTTGTTAATCTGTCTCACATTGATTTCGTTCATAGCCCAGCCCGAGAACCTAGAAGGGTGGAGGGCAGCTATTTTTCACTCCCAAAACTGGAAAGAAGGGGGCCGGGGTGGTGTGGGCCGGGCCCTGGTAGTGGTTGGCTGCGGGAGTGTGTAGAGGGGAGCGTCACTGTAGGGAACAGGACTTGGGAGCAGCACCCCCCTCCCACCCCCGACTGGGCCCTGCCTTAAAGAGTTTATAATCAAGTAGTGGAGACCGAGCCCTGACAGGAGAGAAATGAGCCAGGGGCTTTGGGGTGTCACAGAGTCTCTGATGCTTCCCGGCAGTGGGAGGAGCCATCATAGCCACTGCTTTTTGGTTCTTTGGTTCGAGCCCTGTAGAGGTGTGCCTTCCAGTGCCCTGCTAGGGCCAGTGCCTTGACGTTTAGGCCCAGAGTTGAGGGGCTGCCTGCCTGCATGCCTGCTGTGACACCACCCACCCCAGAGGGTATTAAGTGCCCTCCCTGGTCAAGGAGAAGAGGCGGCCTCCGCAGCTGTCGGGCTCCCAGCGGCCTGCACAGGGCTCACCGCGGCTGCTGGTAGTGCCAGCCATCCTTACTGGATGATTCGCCTAATCCTCCTCTGTGGCTACTTTCGAGCAGGTGTTTTGCCCACTTTCCTGTTGGGGCCCTGAGACACCCAGGGTAGCAGGGCACCGGCCCTGCAGGCCACCAAGTGGCCCCCCATATCCTGTGTCAGGGTCTACACAGGCTGCAGGGCTGCCTGTGCCCACGCCCCTTCTCAGGAGTCACCCCGGAGAAGCAGCTTGGCCCATGGTCTCAGCTGGACAGCTTGGGCCTTACGTGGGTGGTGATAGTGGTGGATGGACAGGAGGAGACTAGAAGAGCCAAGAGGGCAGTGATTCCAGCCATGGCAGAGCGAGACTTGGGATAGGGCAGGAGCCCTGAGCTGTGCAGAGGACACAATGGTGCCAGAGTTTTAATCGATTAGGGGACCTGCTGGGCTGTCATAATTTCCCTTTCTTAGAAAATGAAACTGAAGCGGGACCGTGGTCACGTGACAGGGGGCGCGGCTTATAGCGGGCAGCTCGCGGACTCTGCCCTTTCTTGCAGATCTGTCGCCGCGGCCGGCCGTCAGCAGCCCTCCAGGCATGGAGTGCCCTCGGTGCCGGCATGTCTCCAGCGAGCGAGTCGCCAAGTTCTGCAGCCAGTGTGGACTGCGGCTGCCCCCCGCAGCCCCTACGGCAGGTGAGGTGGGGCGCCAGGGTCCCGGCACAGAGCGTCTAAGCCTGCTTCCCGGGAAGCGGGGCTCGGCCAATGGGCAGCCCCTGGCGGCTCCTGCGACTTTGCAGAGGCACTGTTGTTGGTCATTTTGGCCGGGTTCTTGCCAGCAGAACCAATCGCCTTTTTGAAGTTTCGCTTTCGTTTCTTCGATAGAACTGGGGGGTTCTGCTATCCCATGGGTGTGCGAGAGAGCCTCCCCCGAGTTCCTCGTCTCCCCGCACCCCGCAAGCCTAGGGTCTTTAGAGGCTCTCTGGATGTCGGAGTACTCAGTGTTGGTTTGTAGTGTGACCGCAAGGGGTCGCCACAGCTCCCCCAGGCCCCTTCCTGTACTTGCTAGTAGATGGATGGAGAAGCTCTGGGGTGGGGTGGGGGTGCACTGACGGGTCTCACTTGCCCTTGAGGGGCACGAGACAGCCTGCTGCCCTCTCCCTTTCCTCTCTGCCCCTCTCCCGCTGCCCCAGAGCCCTCTGGGACACCTTAGATGTGCCCCAGTTGCAGGGCCTTTGTACTACCTGCTCACACTACCTGGAGCCCACCCAGTGCAGGGCAGTGCCTGAGCCCTAACCACCGCCCAGTCTTCGCCATCCAGTGAGGCTGTCCTGAGCACCCACTTGAAACCGTAATCCCCTCGCCCAGATTCCCAGTTTCCCTTCACCTGGGTTTGCCCACCTGGCACCGGGTCACCAGTTTGTGCCTTCCTAGGGGGCATTGTCTCTGTGCTCTGCCTTATCCCATGCTCCTTGCACAGTGCTTGGCCCACAGTCGGCACAGGGTGCATCAGAGCAGGCCAGCGAGAAGACAGGCGCGTTTGTTTCTGAACAGGCACCCTGCACACAGGTCTGTGGATGTGTTCCCTGGGGACTTCTGTTGTGCCCTGGGGGCAGTGCTGCCCTCTGTGCCTGGATGGAGTGTGGCCCCAGCTCTTCCACCGCACTTGAATCTCACAGTGCCTTTATTGGGCTCGAGAGATATGAGTGTGAGGTGGCTGCTGCTGGTTGTTGATTTTTGTCTCACTGATTTCCTCTGTGTGTGCGTGGTGGGGCGCTAGGGATCAAACCTATATGCGCTTTATCACTGAGATATACACCCAGCCCTTTTTATGTTTTTAAGTTTTGAGGCAGGGCACCCTATAGAGAGCCCTTCCCGGTCCTGTTCGAGGATCCAAGAAGTTTATATTTGTAACCCCATGGAAGTTACTGGAATTCTAGTGAGTTAATTCCAATCTACCATTTCTAGTGCAACCCATGGAGAGGACAAAGACACTAAGCATAACCGAGGTTTAATTCATTCTTGATGAGGGGAGTGGCTCAGGAATAAGCAAGTGTGAGAGTGGCAGGAAATACATGAGTGCTGTGAGCTGGGCTAGGTGGTCTGAAATCACCTCTGCAGTATGCAGAGAGGGATATGCAGAGGATAATCTGCATAACGCAATTTGAGGTAGTATCTAATGTTTTGGGGTCGGTGCTTCAACTCTGATGTGTAATCTTTTATGCCCTGGGAAGTCATAGCCTCTTATCTTGAGGCTTGATCCCAGCCAACAGCGTGGAGGACAGCATGGAGCACAGTTCTCCATCCTGCCTTGCTCACATGTTTTTGGGAACTACAGGGGCAGAGTAACACTCACCTGTTCCCTTGCTTCAAAGACTACACATTAGCAACTGGGCTGGACTGATATGCACTGTTAAAGCAAACTGAAGGGATAAGGGAAAGTGCTAGCCAGCTCTGTACATATCATTACATGGAAATAGGGCCAGGTTTAGCCAAAATGGAGATAATTGTTCTTCTTTCAAGGAGAGTCATCCAGGTGGTCCTCCACAGCACCCAAAGTTGCCCAGATGAAACTCAAACTTGGCAATCCTTCTGCCTCAGCCTTCCTATGATTTCCTTTTCTACTTGAATCTTTGGGGAAGGGCTTTGGGTGACATTTTAAGGGTTCTGGTTTTTCTTTTGAGTCTGCTGGGACTGGCTGGGTCACAGCAGCATGGGTGCACTTGGTGATCAACAGACTGGTGATGGATTCTTGGCTTTTGATATTGATGGACCCTCTGGTGCCTGGATCCTGTGGGACACCCCTCTGCTGGGACTGCACCACCTGGGCACTGGGAAGAACATCTGCCCATGCTGGGGAGGGGAAGGTTTGCAGCTCTGGAGATGGGAAAACCCCAGTCTGTACCCTGAGATTTGCCTGGTACTGTGCTGAGTATATAGCTGTGATAAATCCCATTATTACAAATGCTGGGAGCAAAGCACAGAGAGGTTAAGTAACTCAGCCATGTCATACAGCTAGCACCTGCTAGAGGCAGGATTTGAACTCTTTGGAGCCAATGTCTTGGGAGGAACCTTGGCTGAGGTCTTGCTGGCCTCAGTGTGAAGGGAGAAACATGGGTGCTGGTGTGGTTTCCTTTGATGAGCAGGCACAGCCCAGCTCTTAAGGGGGGGGTGCGGCACTAGGTAATTACTGAGAGGGGACAAAGCTGGGTGGTCAGGTTCCTGAGTGTGGCTGGAAGGGATGGTGTGGACAGCTTGAGTGGCTTTTCTAAGTCTCAGGCTCCTGTGGAGAAATGGGTGACCCCATGGCCTTGCCCTGGTAGGGTTTCCCTGAAAGGTCACCATCCTAATCCTCCTTTATTCTGGGTGAGGGCTTGGGTAGGGCTGTGAGGGCCACTGAAGCGTTTGGCACCAGAACAGGAAAAAAATGAAGGTCTGTCTGAGAGCGTGGGAGTGTGGCACCTCTTTCTGAGATGCTGTGAAGTCTTCTCAAACTTGAACCCGGCCCAGGGTCCTCCCCTCGGGCAGGTGGCCGGTGGGGAAAGAGGGTGCAGAGCCCTCTGTGCCCTGGAGTCAGGGCTCCGGCCCAGTTTGTGAGCAGCTTCCTCACACGTGGCTGGGATGCTGCGTACAGGAATAGAAACTGAAACCAGGGTGCAGCTCAGCACAGGAGCACTTGTCTGGGGTATGTGAGGTCAAGTTTGATCCCACACGGCCCCCTTCCCAGAAGAGAAGGAAAAGGAAACTGAATCTAGGGTGGGGCCTTGGCTGCAGCTACTGAAAGGCCAAAGCCTGCTGACTCTTTCCTTTCAGCCACTTACAGTCCCCCCGCCCCCGGGCTGGTGGGGGTGGGGATCAGGGATGGGGGCCAGAGTCCCAGAGGCCAGCTCCAGGGGCTAAGCTGAGGTGGGCCACTCCCTAGGGCTCAGACAGGGCAGGGACCTATGGGTCAGCAGAGGCCACCATGTTCCCTGCCCAGAGGCTCCCAGATGCCAGGCTTTTGGGGGACCCCGGATAAAGGCATAGAGAGGACATGGGGTCCCTGGCGCAGGTGGGAGGTGGCAGCTCGGCCAGGATGAGGGCTTTGAAGGCCGTCAGTTGGGGTTGCTTGTGTGTCCTCAGCACATGGGGTCTCCTGGGAGGTTTGTTCAAAATGTAAACTACTGGCCCGGCCGGCCCAAGTCCCCAAAAACCCCAGTGGGGTTCCTCAAATTCTGGAAGGTTATTTTTAAGGGGTCGGTGACACCCCAGGCACTGTGTTTCGCTCTCATTTTCTAAGTTTGAAGACATTTTTATAATGGAGGGACAGACGAGATGAGAATTGTCAGACCACATAGGCCAGGAGCTCAGGAGGGTGATGGTGGGATCATCCTTGGGGGTTCAGCTCAGGCCCTGGTGTGATCGGCTGGGGTGCAGGTTAAGGAGGTGGAGGTCTCCCCCTGGTGGGTGGTGACCCAGCTTCAGGAACAGCCTAAGGACCAGGGCCCAGGTGGGTGTAGAAGGGATGGGGTCGGCAGGGTGGAGAGCGACTCATGCTGTGGGTATTTGATTTCTGAGTTTTGCTTATCTCTCCCCACTGGCTCCAGACCTGGTACACAGGACAAACTTGCGTGGTACGGTGTGCTTGTGTGTTTTTCAATTGTGACAAAATAGTCACATGATTTCACCCTTTGATCCTCTTCTGGGTAGGGATTAGCGGCATTCAGTTTACTCACATAGCTGTGTGGCCATCACCACCGTCCACCTCCAGAGCTCCCGCTTCTTCCAAACTGAAACTCTGTCCCCATCCAACACTCCTGCGGCCCCAGCCCTGGCACCCACCCTTGTACCCCGTTTCTTGGGTCTGGCTGTTCTGGGACCCTTGGGTGTTGGCTTCAGCAGTGTCCTGGTTTGGAGAGGGTTAACTCCCCTCCCTTCGCACTGAGCCACTGCAGCCTGTTGTGTTTTTGTTTTGTGGTAATTGGGATCAAATCCAAGACCTTTTCACTAACCTACATCTCCAGGCCTTTTATTTTTTATTTTGAGACAGGCTCTGTCTCACCAAGTCACTACGTTGCCTGGGCTAGACTTGAATTTGCAACCTTCCTGCTTCAGCCTCACAGAGTGCTGGGATTATAGATGTGTACCACCTTCCTCTGCTGCCGTTTTCTTTTCTCGTGTCTTCTTTTATTTAGTACCAGGAAGTTGCAGTTTTCTTAAAGGTGCAATTTTAAAGTTGGGATTTTCCTTGCCTCCTTTTTATCTGTCTTTATTTTTTCTTTTCTATTTTTAAATTTTAAAAGATTTTTTTTTGTGACATTCTCACTACGTAGTTTATGCTGGCCTTGAAATCACTATGTAGCCCAGGCTGCCATCAAACTGTCAGCAATCTTCCTGCCTCAGCCTTTCAAGTGCTAGGATTACAGGTGTGTGCCGCCACGCCCAGCCACCTGTCTTCATTTCTTCTATCCCACCTCACTCATGCCACTGGGGGACCTGGGCAGGTTCCTGAATCTTTCTGTACTTTTGTTCTTATGATTTCTGTATTTGGCTACTTTCCTTTGTATTACTGTGACTATAGAAATATGCATGTAGCCAGGCATGGTGGCACATACCTATAACCCCAGCTAGGAGGCTGAGGCAGGAAGATTGCTATGAGTTTGAGGCCAGCTGGGGCTACATAGTGACTTCAAGGCCAGCCTGAACTTCAAAGCCAAGACCCTGTCTTCAAAAAACCAAAAATCAAAAAATATGCATGTGGGTGGCACATGACCTGCCTCCGACAGGAGGATCTGAAGTCCCCTGCTGAGCCCCTTCACACTCTCGGCTGACACTGTGCCTCTTGTTTGCGCCTCCATGTTTTGCTTGGCCGTGTGGCAGGACCTGACGCAGCAGCCGGTTCTGGGCACTTCCGTCCACTGCAGAGTAGGAGCCAGGCTGCCAACCAGGCTGTCCTGATGGGGAGGTGCTGCACCCTCAGGCTGGGGCTTTTTCACTCTCGAATCCCCTGGCAGCTTCTGTGGCCAGCAGCAGGTCCCTGAGGTTCCATTTCTGGGCACAGCATCTCCGGTCCTGGGAGGGGCTGGCCTTGCCATCCGTGCTGGGTGCTGGGGGATGGATGGAAATGGCATCCCGTTGCTTCTATCCTGATTTACTTCATTGGCGGGGAAGCTGAGCATCTTTTGGGAAGTGAGAGACCACTTGTGTATCTATTTCTTTAAACTGCCTTTGCCTCTGCCCCCTCCCCTCCTGTGTTGGGGACTGAATCTAGAACCTTCACACTAAGCTATGGCCCCAGCCCCTTTTTTTATTTTTTATTTTGAGACAGAGTCTTGCTAAATTGCTGAGTTGTGTAAACTGGGCATGAACTTGAGATTGTCCTACCTCAGCCTCTCAGAGTACTGGAATTATAGGGAGTAGCCATCCAGGCCTGCTGAATAGCCTGACTTCAGGTTTTTTTTTAATTTAGGGAAGGTGTGTGTGTGTGTGTGTGTGTGTGACTGGGGATGGAACCCAAGGCCTTGTGAATGCTAGGCAAACACTTTACCATTGAGGTATATATACTCCAGTTCTTTTTTATTTTTTTGAGACTTTGTCTTTTTTATTTTTTTTTTGAGATTTTGTCTTTTTTATTTTTTGGGGACTTTGTCTCAAAATAACCTAGGCTATTTTGTTGCCTAGGAAGGCTTTGAGTTTGTAATCCTCCTGTCTCAGCCTCCTGAGTAGCAGGGATTACTGGTGTGTGCCACCAAACCTGGCACCTATTTTGTACTGATGCTTACTTAGTCCTTGGAGCAGTCCTGCTCCCCAGCTGAGCGGGAGGAAGCCCCGGCTCCTGCTTGGAGGATTCAGTTGTTTACAGGCCTCTTGCCCCTTCCTCTGGTCCCAACCACCTCACCCTCCTCCATGAGGCTGGTGGAATGGCGCTGTGGTTCTGAGCATCCATTGCAGCTCTGAGCTGTGGGTCCCTCCAGTTGAAGGGGGTGGCTGTGTCAGATTCCCTTCTGTGAGCCCGGCAGCAGATACAGGTCCTGAGTGAGTAAGGCTGGCCAGGGCTGCCCCGGTGGCAGGGAGAGAACTCAGAGCCCCTAGTTTCTAATTCAGTGTTGAGGTTGCAAAGGAAAGTGGCCTGGGCTGTTTGTTGAAGATGTTTTTCCAGCTTCTACTTTTTGGCTATAAGGTGTGTGTGAGAGCAAACACCTGCACACAATTGGAGGACTTGTTACCAGTTCTAAGTCCCATTAGTGAACTTCCTTCAGCAAAACTCCTGAGTGCCGTGCAGTGGCCAGGCCTGGGCTCAACACCCCCCTAGGTCTTGTCCTGCCCTCCAGAGCGTGCAGAGGCTACGGCTGGGAGGGACAGTGCTAGGAGAGGGTGGACAGGAGGGGCTGGGAAGGAAGCACCCAGAGCAGGGTGTGTACCTGGAGCAAACCTGGGGCCGTGGAGAGGGGTCTCAGGGGATCGGGGTAAGAGAAGATTCTAGACAGAACTATGTGAGAGCGCTGGGGTTACAGAGACCCAGGTGTGAAAGTGGACGCCCCTCAAAGGGGGCCGTTGGGCCCAGGCAGGCGGTTTTGAGTGATGCTAGCAGATGGCTTCTGTGGATGGATGTAGACCAGCAGGTGGACAAGTGGGTCAGAGCCAGGAATCGGGAGCCTCTAGAGGCCTTTGGTCCACCATGGGAGGAGGAGCTTTTGGGAGAAGAGGAATGGGTGGGTACTGCTTTAGAGAAATGGAATTGAGGCACTAATCAGGTGGATGTTCAGATTGCCCCCGTCTTTCTCTGACCTGCCCCGTGCTGCAGCTGGGATCGGGCTCCTGGCCCTGTCCTGCCTGGCCTCAGGGGAGGACAGGACTGATCCGCCTGAGCAGTGCTCAAGAGGGGAGTGCTGGTGTCCCCTTCCCGGGCTCTTCACTCTCTCCTAATCTTCCCTTATCTGCCTGTAGATGCTGAAAACAACTCCTTGATGTGCTCAGCTGCTGAGGGAGAGCTGGAGCTTGGAGAACCTCTGAAGGAGGACGGGGACCTGCATTCCATCCAAGACTCTGGCAATTGGCAGGAAAATTCAGAGGAGCCCAGTTCTGATGCCTCCTGGACCCTCGTCCAAAAGGTGAAGGAGCTGCTTCTGCCTCTGCCTGTCCTCGCCTATACCCACTTGTCCCCCTGCCTTCTGCTTCACCTGGAAGCTTTTTCCTGAGGTGGTTTGGTTGGTGGCAAAGCTAGTTCTGCTTTGAGAGACCTTTGCTGTCCCCATGTCCTCATGGTATCTTCTCTGGGGCAGCGTTACTGGACAGCTGTCCAGCTGTGCCCCCAAGTGCTGTGCTGCCAGCCTGCAGAGCCCTGTTCTTGGGCAGTGACAGAGCTGTCCCATGCCTGTCTCCTCCATCACAGGAGCTGTGACTTCCAGGCCCCTGGTCACCTGTCCACCTCCCAGACCCGGAACATGTGGGTGTGGGCTGAGTGTGGGTCATGTGGGTCATGCTTTCCTCTGGGTCTCTCTGTTCTGGGGTTGGGGGGCTTGAGGGTTCTGGGCAGGGATGGTTCCAGGAGTGCGCTGGTAGCCGGGTACCCTTCCTCCAAGAGTGAGGCTCAGCCTCTTTCTGCCCCCCCCCACATCCTCCAATAGAACCTGCAGAGTGTTAGGCACCAGAAAGCATTTCTCCTGTCAGGAATCTAATGGGTGTAAGCCCTGGAGAAGTGTCTTGGTTAGTTTTCTCTCATAACAAACAAAATACCTGACTCCCCAAATTAAAGAAGGAAAGGTTTATTTAGCTCAATTTGTGGAGGTTTCAGTGTGTAATCAGCTGGCTCCAAGGCAGGGTGGCAGGGCACAGGGGCGATAGTTCAAGGTGGCAGAGACAGCAAAAGCAGCAAGAGCAAAAAGGGGGAGAATAAACCTCTTTTCCTCCCTTATACTGTAAGCAGGCTACCCCTCTCCTTAGGGGAGGTGTAGCACTCACACAATCTCCAGTAAGCTCCTCTTGCACAGGCTGAGGATGTTTACAAAGGAGGGACCCTGGCTCCCTGCTAATCCCTTAGTTAAACTTCTAAACTTCTCGAGTTGACACAGTGTATCAACCATTACTGGAGGCTTCCCAAGGGAGTTATTTTTTTGCTCAGCGGAGTGAAGACCCTAATGGCTATGTCCAGATGTCTGCTTCCTGCTGGGTTCAGGGAGAGGAAATTTGGCTTTTTAAAAATTTATTTATTTATTTATTTATTTAATGCTGGGGATTGAACCTGGGGCCTTTGCTTTGAGCTACATCCCCAGCCCCTTTTAATTTCTTTTTTATTTTGGGACAGGGTCTTGCTAAGTTTCTAAGTTTCTAAGTTGCTTGATCTGGGCTCACACTTGTAGCCCTCCTAGAGTGCTGGGATTACAGGCATGTGCCACCACGTCCCACTGTGACATTGTCTTTCTGTGACTGGGATGGGCTGGTTTTCGGTATTGTTCCTGCCAGATGGTGCTTTGTGAGGCAGCAGGAGTGGGAGGGACACAGCTGGCTGCGCTCTGACCTGTAATTAGTGTTTGCATGGGAGCAGTGTGTGTTGGTGGTAGGATGGGTGTTGTGTGTGTATGTGTGTATGATTTGTATTTGAGGCCAGCCTGTGCTGCATAGTGAGTTCAAGACCAGTCTGAACTACAGAGCAAGACCTTGTCTCAAAAAAAAAAAAAAAATGCTCTTGAAATCTTCAAAACATGAGTGATTTGTGGTGTAGAAGTGATTCCTCAGTTAGTGTAACAGCCAACTTTTCATTAGAAACCACGGAATCAAGAAGATAGTGAGTAACACCCTCAAGTGCTGAAAGATAAAATTGTCAGTGTAGTTTTGTTTGTTTATTAGTTTGTTTGTTTTGTACCAGGAATTGAACTCATAACCTCGCACTTGCCAGGCAGGCGCTATGCCACTGAGCCATATCTCCAACTGTCAGTGTAATTTTGTATCTAAAAAAATACCCTTAAAATATAGAGAAGGTTATAAGATTATAAGAGAATGTCATGAGCAACTGCAGACCTAATGTCTAACAACAATTGCTTAAATGTAAAACCAAAAGCATAAGCAAGAAAAGAAGAAAATAGAACTTGAACGTCATCAAAATGAAAAATTTTGTATATTCAAGGAAAAAATAAAGTGAGAAGACTGCCCATGAAAAGGGAGAGAATATTTGCAAATCACATATCTGATAGGGGTTTAGTATCCACAAGATATAGAAAGCTCTTAAAACTTGGCAGACTGCTCCCCAGAAAGTGAAGCATAAAACTGCCCTCTGACGCAGCGATTCCTCTTCTGGGCACAGGTTGCAGAGAAACAGAAAGAAGTACTCACACAAAACCTTTCCCCTCAAGTTCAATACAGCATTAATTATACCAATCAAAAGATGAAGTGGCCGGTGTGGTGGTGCATGACTGTAATATTAGCATTCTAAGAGGCGGAGGCCAGAGGATTGGCAAGTTCAAGCCGAGCCTGGGCAGTTTAGTGGGACCTTGTCTCAAAAACCAAACCAAACCAAAGAAGCAGCAGGCACTAAAGGTGAAGCTCAGTGTAAAGGCTCTGGGTTCAGTCTCTGGTATTGCGAAGAGGAAAAAGGAAGAAAAGAAAACTCTATGTACAGCACTGTCCCTGAAGGAAACTTGTGAAAACAGAAAAGCCCATCCACACTTGCTGTTCAGAGCACATTCATTCCCAGGGAGCAGCTCAGAGGGCTGCTGTGTGTGCCAGGCATGGTGTGCCTGTGTCGTTCCTCACATGACAGCGGTGATGTAGCTCCAAGTGCAGCCACGAGCTTCCCACACCATATGGGGTACAGGACACTGGACATGGGAAGCCAGGACACAGGAGCCATGGGCCAGCCCTGCCCTGCAGGTGGGTGGCAGGGTTGTGGCTGTTGGGGTCTGCAGGGAGGTTACTCCTCATGTCCCTGGTGACTGGCTCCACTGACCTCTAATGCTGGCTAATGGGTGTTCTTTGCTGCTCTTGCTCCTCAAAGAGGCAGATGGGTTTGTGCTTCTCACAGTGGGTGGTGGGTGGGGAGGGTTTCCCTTCCTCAGCTTCCTGCCGGGCTGTTCTGTGGGAGGGGACTTGGCTGGACTCTGGCACTGCCTGGTGAAGGCAGGGAGGCACCAAAGTGTGTGCCTTGGCCTCGGGTTCGGGAATCCTGTCCTGGCTCTGCCCTGGTACCTTTGGCTGACGTGCCCTTGCCAGGTCTGTAACTACATCTAAAGCCCTGGCCCGGAAGTGTGGAGGGAGACCCAGTGGAAGTTGGGGTGCCTGCTGCTGTGGGTGCTTCCTTTACTCCTAAGTTGCCCTGCTCACCTACAGCCCTGACTCAGCTCTCCCATACCCTCCTGCTTGCTGCCCCTAGACTGTGAGGATGCTGTGGGTTGGCTCAATCCACCAAGTGGGTGCCCTGCCCTGGCCTTACTGAGGGTGGAGGTCTTGGAGGATTTGCTGCAGCAGTGCCCATGGTAATCCTGCCCTGTCTGAAGGGACTCCTGTTTCAACAGGAAGTGGCCCCAGAGGTTTTTGTATCAGATAGAAGCCGCTCATTACCCACCAAGCAAGAGAAGAAAGCAGGACGCAACCCTGTTTGAGGTGGAGGACCCATGTTCTGCAGGCTGTGAGCAGGTGGTTTGCATACAAAGTTGCACCAATGCCTCTGTCTAGCCTTGCATGCCAACAGGCTGCCCTCACACCTCAGTCCTCACCCCTTGAGGGGCAAGAAAAGCTGGGGGCACAGCCAGACCTGCCTATGAGGTGAATCAGGTTTTGGCTCTTGTGATGGAGGACATTTTGTGAATACTCTGTGTCCTTCCATCCTGTCACCAGCTTTTATTGCTTATGAAACTCTCTTCTTTGACATCTGGAGAAATTTCTCCTGCTGGAAGCTCCACAGCAACCCAGGACCCTCCTCACAGAGAAGAACCACAGTCCAGACTTATGGGGCTTCAGGGGCTCAGGACCAGCAGGGAGTATTGTAGCTGCATCAGTACTCTGTGAGCAGGTCATGGCGTGCTCACACCCACTGTGTGGACACCTGGTTGAACTCAGTGCCTGTCTCTGGAGGCTTAGTCCTGGGGCCTGTCATTCTCTGCAGCATTTGAGGGCAGTACAGGGTTCCTTAACAATGTAAAAAATGACACTTGCCGGGTGTTTGGTGCATGCCTGTAATCCTATCACCCAGGCAAGAGAATTGCGGGTTCTAGGCTAGCACACAGGAAGACTTTGTCTCAAAAACACAAAATGGGGTGCGGTAAAAGTGCTTTTGCCTATGAGGAACAGGGTAGCCTCGAGCACCAAAGGGATGATACTGTGAGGTTTAACTCTGGCCTTCCTGCAGAGCGTGTTACCATTCTCTGAGGAAGGCAGCTGCATGTTCATTTCATGAGGACCAGCTCCAGAGCAGGCTCTGCCCTGGACCCGCATGGGTCAAGTCTGGGAGCCAAGTCCGGCACCTGCTTTGCACAGCACAGAGGGATGGGCCCAGCTAGGGGAAGAGCACTTGTGGCTGTGAGATTCTGAGTGCCATCCCTAGCACCCCCAAAAATGCCAACCAGAAAGTACAATAGAGGGCTGATAAGTGAGGAAGAAGGGCCTGAACCCTTCAGGAGTCGGACGCACTGAGCAGGAGCACAGCAGGATCAGTGGGGCAAAGCTGTCTGTCCTTGCTCCAGACTTGGACCTTAAATGAAATGGCTAATCGTGTCAGAAAATAATGCAGCTCTGAGAAGGATTTTCTTTCCTTGGAAGTTGGCAAAAATCTTCTAAAATCCACCTGAACTGTAAGTTGGTTGGCATACCTATGAAGGACAAAAAAGAAGGCAAAGGAGTAGAGACTGATAGTAAGCCTTCCAGCCCAGCAGTAGCAGTGTTCCCTGCAGGTGCAGACACGGCTGGCAGGAGTGTCCCCAGCAAACAATGAGAGCTGGCATCTTGAGAAGGTGCTGTCTGGGCCCCAGGCTCACCATGTGGATAAAGCCAGGTTCCCAGCTCATACTAACACTAAAATATGTCCCAAGTTGTTTACATATTTTAATGCAAGACAACTTCTTTAGAATTCTAGAAAATACAGGTGAATGCTGTGTATATCAAATTATGAAAATGTCTTAAGCTTCATAACCCACCCATAAAATCTATAAATATTATTATGGCTCTATAAACATCAGAGATTCTGGGTCAGAAAAGATGACTCCTGGGGAGGCCATGCCAGGAGGTATTCGCAAAGCGTTAGCAACCCTTCATTAACTCCTGTGACAGTGTTATGACAGTGTCAGCCTACACATGTCCAGAATGGTGGGTCAGGGGTGCAAAAGACAGCTTGGAGAGGAAGAGATGGAGTGGCTGTAAACATCAGAAGGGCGAGCGTGTGGCTGCCTTCAATTGGGCAGCTGTTCTGCCTCTCAGGGTTGAGTTTAGTTTTATTAAAAAGTCGTTGGCGATGGAGCCGAGTAGCAGGGTGCTTGCCTAGCATGCACTGTGTCCTGGCTTCTGTCCCTAGCACTGGGGAATAATAGCAGTGTATGGGCTGGCAGCTGCTGGCCAGTGTGGCCAAACGTGGCTGAGCGTGGCCAGGGTACACAGGCTAGCCCATTGCCTGGCCGCCATTTTTGCTTACCCTGGAACTGGGCTTTGTCTCTCAGAGGGTCTCTCTGGGCCACCCCTGCACTTACTGTGGTCCCCACAACCCCCATGTGATGGGGAGGGGACAGTGAGTCCCTCTTCCTGGTCCCACTCTCCCCACCCCCTGGTCCTGCAGAGATTCATGCCCTCCGATTGCTTCTCCATGTGTTTCTCGTCCTTGGCTAACTGCTCCCCTCCTTCTGAGCTACCTTCCATGGGGAGGACAGCCAGCAACTGTCCCTAAGGTCTACCCCTGAAGGACAGATGGTAGGGACTGTGCTTCTAATATGTCTGAAGGGCCAGGGACTGGTCACAGTGAGGTCCCCCTGTACTGTGCCTCAATTGGTGCTCCATGGCAGCCTGAGGTGCATCTGCAAGAGCTGATAAGGGTGTCTTCAAGCAGTTACAACATCAGTCACCTGGACTGACTTTCTACTTGCATAAGAAGGAAATGACCTAATTTGAGGTTTAATTATTTCAATCCTTGGGACTATTTGGTGCAGGCCTGTAATCTCAGCACTCTAGGAGACTGTGGCAGAAGGATTGTGAGTTCAAGCCTAGCCTGGGCAATTTAGTGAGACCCTGTCTCAAAATAAGGAATTGAAAAAGGCTGGGTACGTGCATCAGCTCAGAGTACATATGTTCAGCCCTTCTTAGCAGCCCTGCTATGGGGATGAACCAGCTGGTTCCTGCAGCAGGGGTTTGGGGAGTGCCCAGCTTATTAGTTGTGTTAATCATTTTCCTGTTGCTGAGACAAAATACCTGGTACCCACAACTTAAAGGAAGGTAGTGAGTTCAGTCCATGGTCAGCTGGCTCCAGGGCAAAAAGGGTTTGGTGGAAGGGCATGGTGGAAGGGCTGTGGGGAAGAGAGTTGTTCACTGCAGGATGGCCAGGAAGCAGAGAGAGAGGGCAGGAACCAGGGCTATAATATACCCTTCCAAGTCATACCCCAAACCTCCAAACCACAAGTCAGCTACGAAGTCATCAATGGACAGATGTACTGATGAGTATAGCATCAGTGATCCAGTCACCTTCCAAATAATGCATGGGGGACATTTGAGATCTAAACTATAATATCAGCATCTGTTCCCATCCACCCATGTGAGAGTTTGGCCAGCACACAGCCTCCCTCCAGCCCCATCCCTCCTGCCTTAGCGTCCCACAGCAGTGGGATTACAGGTGTGCATCACCATGCCTGGCTGGATCTCAGTTTAATTCTGGGTGAGCAAGAAGTCACTGGAGACAAGGCTTGTCTTCAAGTCTTGCAAAAGAGATGGAGCCTCCTTTTTAGGCTTCAGCATCTTTTAGACTAAGCCCCGTGCTGCCTCCTCCAGGGAGCCTTCTGGGTCAGGAGCTCTCTGACCTCCCCAGTGCCGTCCTCACTAGCCTTAACCCTTGCACTTCCTATGTAAGTGTGTGTTGTATCTGTCCTGCTATGCTGTCAGCATCATGGGATGGGGACCCCATTGAGCCCTGGAATCCTTGTGCCTGCAGAAGCTCTTGTTGCTCAGGAGCTGGCCGTGCAAGTGAGGCTGCTTGCATGAATCACCAGCATATGGAGAAAGAAACGGCTTGTCTGACTCATTAGCTGTCTGTTGGAAATCATCAATAAGCTGATAGAGACAGAACCCCCAGATGCACCAAGTCAAGAGTTGCAGGGTGTGGATTGGGAAGGTGCTCTGAGGCTGAGCCCCCATTGCAGTCCTAGCCTCCCACGCACAGTGTGGCCCTGGGAGCCTGTGGGAACACAGCCCTTGTGACCACCCACACAGGTGAGCTGCTCTGCATGGCAAGAGGTCTGCACTCATGACTTGTCACCCTCTGAAGCTGGAGAAGGATCTGTGTTAAATTTCATGTTCTTAGATGTTTAACCACACTTAGAGGGCTGAGGATGCCCCACGGTGTATTGGCCATCAGGGCACAGCCGTTGGGGGGCACTTAGGACTCTGAGGGAGCTGCAGGCTGACCCGGAAGGTGGCTGCCACATTATGTGCAGATGAACCCACGTTATTCGTGTCCCTTTCCCAAATGACTTAGCTGCAGGAGTGGAGGTGTGGGTGGCACAGGCGCATCTGCCGGCTGCCTGCCAGTGTGGTAGGCCTTAGGGGTATAGGAATGACTTGGTGACTGGATCAGCATTCTCTCTAGAGTGCCACACCCATGGGGGGTCCCAGAGCCCCCCACACCTGCTTCTCAGGCTCCATTCCTGGCTCCTGAGCCAGAAAGGATGCTGTGCTGGGTCCAGCATATGCCTCTTGGGTGCAGCAAGGAACTCTCGACTCATGCACGTTCCCACATCCTTCTCTTCATTCCATTCTGTGTTCATAATGTGTAGGGTGCAGGTGTGGAAATGGCAGTACAAAGGCAGTGGCCCACACTGCACGTTCCTCAGCTCTGTCATCCCCGTCTTTGTTTCTTTGCTCTGTTCTGTCAAAGATAAATTACCTGAGTGTTTTGCCGCACCCTTGTATTTCTGGGAGGTTGAGGCAGGAAGATTGCAAGCTCAAGCCTTGCCTGGGCAATTTAACCACTTAGCAAGACCCTGTCTTAAAGTAAAAAATAAAAAAGAGCTGGGGATGTAGCTTAGTGCAAAGCCCTGGGATAGCGCCCCAGTATCACAAAGAAATTGCTGATGTAACAGATTTTGTAAGTGGGGTCTGGCCAAGCGAAGTTTAAGGCACTTGAGAAATTGGAGGGAAACATTGGATACCATGTAATCGAAGAAGTAAAATTAATGTCTTTTTTTACATTTAGAGTAAGAGGAAGAGAAGGAAGAAAAAGAATCAGAACCAATCCAATCCCTCAGAGCTGAGTTCTTTGTCACCATCTCTCTCCGATTGTTCAAGTCTGTATTTGCTTTCAAGCCCTGGCTCCCTGGACACAGCCGTGCCCCACAACCAAACCCAAAAGGGTGACCTGGCCAGCCAGCCTGGCCAGCCTCTGGACTCGGGGATGCTGCTGGTGGAGGAGGGTGGCCCCCTTGACTCTGTTGTGCATGCTGAGGGTGGTGACAGCCCTGTGCAGGGTCAGTCTGCTGGAGCCACTGGCACAGCCCTGGGCAGCATGGCCCAAGAGCCACCAAGAGGGCCAGATCCCAAAGCCCCTATGCACTCTGAAGACCAAAGTCCCACTGGGGAGCAGTCCAGCCCGACCAGCTCTGCCTGTGAAGGCCACCCTGTGGCTGCGAATGTCACTCAGCAGTCTGAGTCCAAAGGGGACAACTTGGAACCCAAGAAGAAAGAACAGAAGGAAAGACAGCAGGCAGGGTCACCAGCATCTGGGGTAAGTGTCGGGGGTGGTGGCTGACGTGATGTCATGCCCTGGCTGCCTTGCTGTGTCTGCAGGTGTGACATCACCCTGCTGCCTGGACTTGCTCCCTGCGGGGGTGCAGGAAAGGTGCCGCTGGCCTCCCCCTACTTAATTTGTAGGCAGTGCAGAGTCATGCCACTGAGACCAAGTCTGTCGCTGCTGTTCTGTATCCTGTGATTCAGGAGCTAGGACCTTTATTTCTTCCAGGGAACGGATGATACAGCTGAGCCAGCTAACAAAGCCAACAGGGCCACCAAGGATATGAAGGACAAGACTCAGCCAGCCAAACAGCCACTGGAAAGCCCCACCACACCCAAGGAATCTTGCCAGGTAGAGGCCGCTCTGGAAGCTCTGTAACTCATGACAGCAGAGGACAGCTCTAGTCCTGGCCTAAACAGTTGGGTTGTGTTGCTCGTTCCAGAAAGCAGAAGCCAAGGGCAAGTCGGCTGTTGCCGGGGGAAAAACCAGTAAAAATGGAAATGTGAAGCTAGAAGATAGGAAGAAGGCAGAAGAGAGTAATAGGACTCAACCAGCAGCTGTGAAAAATGAGAAGCAGCAGAGGAACCAGAGTGTAGTAGCACAGGAGGTCACAGCGAGGTAGGACTGGGAGGCCTGAGCAAAGGGCCTGGGGGCTGCCCTGGCCACATCTCTGTTGAGTTCATCTTTAGGGGAACGGCTTACAAGTGGGCTGGCTGGAGGACCTGTTCCACATTCTCCTTTTCTGATTGGCCCTGGGGTCCCAGAGCCAATATGGCCTTTCAGAGCGCGGGAGAGTCCCAGAATGCATCATGGCCCAGAGTCCTTCCTGGACTGCCTAGGGTCTCCAGCCCTTCAGTGATGGAGCAGGGGTGACCTCCCTTGTAAAGGGAAAGAAGAGGCCACTTACCATGCATAGCATATCTGGGCCCTGGACATCGTCGTACTCTCGCTTGGCGTGCTGGTGCACGGCAGAGAGGCAAGGATGGTGCCTGTGTGCCCGTGTGTGTGCTCGTGCATGTGCCCACACATGCCTGTGCATGAACCAGTGCACACAGAAGGGCAGACACTGACCTGCAGCCCCTTCCTGTCTGCTCTCCCCAGCATTCTAGGACCTGGGGAAGGACTCACCGTGTACTTCCACGCCATCCTCTCCAAGGACTTCGCGTTTGACCCTAAGTGCCACCAAGTGTTTGTGCGTGGCAGCAAAGGACTTGGGAAGCAAGAGTGGAAAGATGCTTGCGAGATGCATTATGCCAAGTGAGTGTACTGAGGGATGGCTCAGGTGGGTGTGAGTGATCACCATCACCAAGGACATGGATGACATTCTTAAACTTCCAGGAGATGAGTATTTCAAACAAATCCTCCTTATGCCTTTCTTTGTCACATTGCCTCTTCCTCTAGGTATGGCTGGTCACTGGCCCATTCTAGACATGTGCTGTGGGGTGGTATCCATTGGTCTGGGCTGTGCCCCCCCATGGTGGGTAGAGAAGAGCTGACATTCCCGGATATGTCATTTTGCCGTTGTTGTTGTTGTTTGTGATAGGTCTTGTTATGTAGTTCAAACTGGCCTTGAACTTGTGGCAATCTTCCTGCCTCAGCTTTCTAAGTGCTGAGATTAGAGGCATATACCACCATGCCTGATGTGACTTTGGATAACTGCCCAGTGTCCCATTATTCACAGGGACTTACAGGAGACTGGGTGTCTCATCGAGGGCAGCATGGTCATTCCCAAGCAGAGCATAAACTGTCCCATCCCGTACAAGTATGTCATTGTCAAAGCCCAAGACTCCGTGGAGTACGAGTTCATCTACAAGAAGCAGAAGAAAGGCGAACATGTCAACCGCTGTCTGCACATACCGTCCCAGCTGGTGGCTGAAGGAGGTGAGCCTGCCACGTCCTGACCATGCTTCTAGTCCTCTTGGCTCTGCCTCGGCACCACCTCCCCCTGCCCCGGCCCCACCTCCCCCTGCCCCGATGCTTCATAAAATAGTCTTTGGTATGTCTTTGGCTGTGTAGAGGCATTTGGCCCCTGCTCTCAGCTCAATTTGACCTGACACAAGACCTTCGTACTGAGCTACATTCCCATCCCCTTTAAAAAAAAAAAAAATTATTGTTTTGGTAGGGTCTAAATTAGCTGGCTTGGACTCAAACTTGCAATGCAGCCAGTCCTAAGAACAGCCTTGAATATAGCCTTCACCCCACAGCAGGCACCTGCCCATGGCTCCGTGCTGCACGGGAAGCTGCACTGTCATGTCACAGTCCCTGGTGCACACAGAGGATATAGTGCTTGCACCATGTCCTTATCAGAATGGTGCTCAGTGGTGGGGAGCCATGGGATCATCATCGTGCAAAGTGTGTCACCTGCACATGGTCGTGTTTTAGGGGGCACATGTACCAAGTTTGTGGAGCTGCGTGGTTACAGAGATTCATGGCTTATCCCCATGGGCTATCTGGGACATCACACAGGGCCTTGCCAGGCGTGACTGATGGAGTGCATTCTGGTGCCTCAGTTTACCAGTCTTCTTGGTTTCCTTCATTTCTTCCCTCTTTTGGCCACTCCCCACTGTCACTGCCACCATGATCTGAGTGTGACACTGTTCTTGCTGTCATCCTAGAATGGCATCAGTATGACGACATCATCTGCATGAAGCCTGGGACATGGGTTCATCATCTACAGAAAGCCAAGGATTTTTTTACTGATGGGAGGAGGAAGGACCTGGTGGCAGGGAAGCACATGGCAGCTGTGGTCATGCTGGACCGCATCTTCAGCATCCTGCAGACCTGGAACATCATCAACCTGAGGAACTTTTTTGCCCAGTTCCTGCAGTTCTACTCTGTCGTCCGAGAACCTGTGGTTTATGAAGGGGAAAGGGAGATATGGAGTGATCTGCAGCTCACAGAGAAGGAGGTAGGGCTTCCCCGTTGTCCGTAGCAGGTCTGCAGTAGGTAGGCGAGATTCCCCCCACCTTCTAGAGGCCAGTGAGTCCTTGACTGAGTGGCTGGGCACAGATGGGGCAAGAAAACTGTTCTGTCCCTTTTTTCCTTATTTCACCTCTTCGGACTTCGCTCCCTCCTCCATTTTCTCCTGGTTTCTGCCCACGTTGGTGCCCAGTTCTCACCTGGTCTAGGACAGAGTGAGAAGAATGTTTGGGGCCCAGGTGACCTGGAGCTGTCCGTGTGTTTGACAGTGGCCCCTTGTGAGCATCTGAGTCGGGGCTCTGAGGGGCTCAGGCTGGCTTCTTGGGATAGGCTGGGGACTCCCCTAAGTTCTCTGTGCCTACAGCATCTCCATCCCCTGCTCACCTGTTGTCCAGTCTCTGGGGCGGGCACTGTGTTGATAATGTGTGGTCTTTGTCTCCTGGGCTCAGGTGAAGGGACACCTGTGGGAGTATTTGAAGAAACAGATGGCCCCATTTCTGGATGTCAAGAGTGGAGACGCCCTGCCTGAAGACTTCCCAGTGAAGAGCAGACTGCAGATGGGCCTGATTGTCCTTTTTGTAGTGAACAGAATTCAGATTTCCTTATCCAAATCTGACTTGGCCTCCCTGAGCAACCTCCTGATCCCCAGTGCCGCTTCACCAGATGCCCTGCACAGCAACCTAGGCCACTTCCGAAGTACATCTGAGAGGTATTTCTGTCTGTTGTCAAGGGGTTTAGAGCTATTTGTTTTGGTGGTCGTCTGATTACCAAGACAAGCCCTTGTCATGGAATGGCTCAGAGCATACAAGCAGGAAAGAAAAGCTGCCTGTCATTCTGCCACTCACTGTTGTCATTTCAGTCTGTCCTGGCACGTGCGTTATAATTCATGTTAATAGTAACATGGATGTTCTATGTTCTCTTTCTCTTTTTTTCCCCTTTGGTGGCACTGGGAGTCAAACCTAGGGCCAGATGCATCCAGGCAAGTGCTCTGCCGTGGACACACAGCCTAGCCTCCCTTTTTTGAATATGCTGCTTTTTATATAGCTTCATAAAGCCAGGTGCAGGAGTGCAGCAGGAGGATCAGTTGAGCCCAGGAGTTTGAGGCCAGCCTGGGCAATGTATTGAGAGCCCTTCTGCCAAAACACATAAATAAAATAAAAATATCAACAAAAAGCACGAGGTCACTGCTGGGCCTTGGGGGGCTTGGTGACAAGGCTGTGGCCTTTTGCTTGGCAGGGGAGGAGACCAGGACCAGGGCTTTTCACAGGATTGCCTATGGCTGTGAACTTGCAAGTGGCTCCAGGCAGCCTTCCCCACGCAGCTCTTCTGAGGTATCCGGCTGCTGCTTCATGTGTCCCCGGCCCCAGGGAATCACTGTACGTTTTGCCAAAAAGAGGAGAAACAGTCACAAGAAAACAAGGAATTGGTGCAGGTGTTTGAGAGGTTTAGGACACATTGATACTCAGTGACTATGGAACATGGGCTGGGACTGTACACTGCTTGGAGGCTCGCTCCTTGCATTTATGAAGGTGCTTTTATGTATTTAGATCCACTATTGCCAGACAGCGTGGGTTCAAACCCCTGCTCTACTGAGAGCTACCCCGAGGCCCCAGCATGGACCCTTAGCCGGGATCCACACACCTCGGTTCCTCTGCCATCCACTGTGGTAGAAATGACTCCTATGGGAGTCTATTGTGAGGATTCAGTGAGTACCAGCACCAGGGTGGGACCCAGCACCCTGTGCCTCCCTGCACCTTGTGTCTCCCTACATCGCGTGTCTCCTGGGCTGGTAACATCACCCAGCCGTGCTGAGTGCTCTTGTGCCTTGTACAGGTGGTGGTCACGTCTCCTCTGGGACATCAACCACAAATGTGTCTGACATGGCCTCTCGGTTCCCTCCTAGGTGGCGAGAGTACCTGGTAAACCTATGTCAATTTTGCATGGAAGAGGGGATCCACCAGTGGCTGGGCACCCTGCCAGTCCTGCACTACTGCATGCAGCTAACCCCTGCCAAGAACGAGCCAGTGAACCAGCAGGAGGACATGTGGGCGGCCCTTGAAGGGATCCTCTTCTCAAAGTTTCGGGAAAGTACAACCAACCTGTAAGTTGAGGAGCTGTCCTCAGAGCAGCACAGCTGTGAAGGAACAGCTCTGTCTTTTTGCAGCACCAGAGGTGGGCCCAGTGCTCACAGCTGAGAGGCAGCCCAGCCCCTGGATGGCCGTCCTGAAGCTCGGAGTGGAGGGCTGTCCCAACACACTCATCCCTGCTTCTCATGAGACAATGTGATTTCTTTAGCACTGTAAAACAGAACAGCCACAAAGAAAAGTGCAGACAAGCCCAGAGTTACTTGTGGACACTGGTATACATATTTCTGTGTCCACACAGGGGTGTCTTGGGGTTTCACATGCTTAAGACAATAATGATGATAAGCAATATACTATTTATAAAATGGGTGTGGTGGTAGACACCTGAAATCCCAGCATTCTGGGATGCTGAGACAGGAGGATTGCAAGTTTGAGATTTATCAAGAACCTGTCAGAAAATAAAGAATAAAAAGAGCAAGGGCTATAGCTCAGTGCAAAGGCCCTGGGTTTAAAGAATAAATATAAAAAGTCATTATTTATATATA